TGCAGTTCAGTAAAAAATTGTCATGGAGAGCTCGGAGACATCTCATTTTGTAGAGAATTCGTTGCTCTATCACCCTGTGTAATCAAAACAAACTTTTATTTTCGGGGTCTGGGTGCTGAAAAAAATAGGTTTTCGGTTTTCCAAAGATCCTGGTTTTGGGAAATAAGATGAGAATTTCATCTTTCTGGGACCTTTGTTGAAAACAATTTTCTCTATCCAAATCACTATTTGGATTCTTCATAGGAGTTACCATTAGGGAAAAAAATTGAAATTACACCTGTATGGATAATTTTTAGAGCCACTGTATATTAGTGAGCAAAAATGAATATAGTATAGTTTCAATTTCGTTTAACTCATCAATTAAATGATTTTCAAAAGATTTACTAAGATCTTTATTTTGTTTATTTCTTAAATAGAAATCAAAAATGATTTATTTCCTACTTTGAAAACCTTCACTGACTTAGTTGATAAAATATTCTTTACTAATAGTTTATAATAAACATTAATAGAAAAGTTAATCTATAGATTGTTAAAATACATACGAGTAATCTTTTTCCATAAAAAACAATTCGATACAAAGTTGCATATCCATTCGATTAAAACAATCTGTAATCTAAAATAAAAACCAAAAGAATATTTCATAGAAATCAAAAATTAAATAAATATTTTTCTTCTGTTCATACATGTTGAGCATCAACAATAACTGAAAGTTTAAAATTAAATTGATCTTCAAGTTCGATTTCTTCATTTTTATAAATAATTAAAAATGTTTTACTAACACCCCAATCATTAAATATACAAGCAGGATAAATTTGTTCATTTAAATCATCTAAGAGAAAAACAAACAAAAAAAAAAAAAAGAGTATTATATATCTTCTGTTTTTTTGTTTTTATTTCATACCAACGGCAAAAGGAAATTCAGATTTAATTTCAATTTTAGTTGCCGATTGAATTTTCGGTGCAAATTTTACTCCAGTACGAATTTGATAATACCTAAAAGAATGTTTTTCTTTTTTGTTATTTAAAAATTATAATTTCTAACAAATTACCCTTGAACAAATAAATCAATATTAAAAAATTTTCTTAATTCAACTGTTAATTCAATTTCAGCCTGTAAATCGGCCATTATTCTAAATCTAAACATAATTATTAAAATAAAATAAAATCGAAATATTTTACCTTTTATTATAAATAAATAAATGATTTAAATTTCATTTTTAATTTTACTAGAAATCATTTAATACTTTATCTATGTATTAAAATATCAAAGGAGGAAAAAACGACACGATAGGAAAAAGAAAGGAGAAAATAAAAATGTTCTCGAAAAAATAGAGAAAATAAACTATAGAAGTTAGACTCCAAAAATTAACTCATCTTGTTGAATGACTTATTAAAATAGTTCTCTAAGAAATATTTCTAAAAATAATTTTTTTTATTTTTCAATTTTATTAAAACTAAAACTTATAATAATAAAAAAAAAGATCAAAGTTTTTTCTTGTTTTTTCGAGCGACATTTTATTCCTTTTAATCATGATTGGTGTTACTAATGACGAACAGATATTCTATGGATCAATGCTTACTTTTGTTGGTTGGAGACAACAAACGCATAACAGCAAGAAAACGCGCATAGATATTCATAGTGAGAGGCGAAAAAAAAAAAAAGGAAAACAAAAGAAACTAATGAAACGAAAATAATTTCATACTTCTGAATTATTAAGGAGAAAACATTCGTTCTTACATCAACCATCTTTTTTTTTCTCGTTTTCCTCACGGGTGTGAAAAATAAGAAATTAATGTTGTTTGATGAATCATTATTCATACTTCTTTTTGTTGTTTTTTTTTTTAAGTTATTTTATTCATTTAAATAAAGATAACTCGATTGATTATTCTGGCATTGTTGAAGTAATTTATATCGTCTCGACGAATTATCTTCTACCTTCTTTTTTTGTTTGTTTGATTATTAAACATGGTAACTGTGATAGAAGATAAAGGAGAATTACCCACACCTGTTAATAATGGTATTACTGTCGATTCACATGATAATGAACGAACATTTCAATATGTTAAAGATTATCAAGAAGTAAATTTTAACACTTTCTTAACGAAAAAAATTCACTTTTTTTAAAATAATCTTTTTAATTAATTTGAGGTTGATTTTCATCGATCGACATCATGTAAACCTTTACCTGAAGATTTAGTTGGGTTAACCGATGGTCAAATAACGAAATCTTCAGTAAGTAAATATTAAGATGCTTTTAAGAAAAGAGTTGTAATCAAAAATGGTATTCTTTAAGCAAGTATTACATAGGAAATGCATAGTAACATTAAAGCTAGTTTGTCCTATCGTGAAGAAGTATTCCACGTTTTAATATGATATTATATTGAGAAAAATGTGAAACACCTTCATGATGAAGAATATCTGCTTAAGGAATACTATAAAAATTTAGCATTATCAAAGAATTAGTTAAATACTTTGATTGAAAAATGTACACTTTCATGTTATGACTGTAGAAAACTAAGACAGTTGGTATGACATAAACTTTTCTAAGGTTAGGCAGTACATTTGTTCAGGGACAAAAGTTTGAAAGAATCTATATACAAAATCTTCTGTTACATAGATATTGATAGAAAGTTGCATTTCTTAGTTACAAAGTTTTACTGTCTGGTGCTTGCTTTCATTAGACAATTCAAGAAAACAATAAGTTATTACTAAAAAAACATTTCTTAATAATTCTTTTGGTTCCAATTGCAAGACAAAGAGAAAATTATATTTCTATCATGGATTAGTTTTGTTTTTTCTGTTTATTTGACAAATTTTTATTTTAAATAGATCAAAGGCACGTTTTTTGTGCAAATCGATTCTATTGAATCAATAGCAATATTCAATAATAAAAATGATAATAATCAACTAGAACAAATTCATGATAATAATTCTTTGATTTTAACTATAACCGATGGCATTACAACTGTAAAAGGTATTACAAATGATAATATTCCTGACCTAAGGTATATAAAATGATTTCAAAAAAAGAAATAATATTTCATCTTTTTATTTAATTCTTTTAGTTTTAATATACGACCCGGTTGCAAATTATTATTAACCGGTATAATCTTAATTAAAGATGGTTTATTACAATTAACACAAGACAATACACGTTTTCAATATGGCAGTAATACATATCCCCGACCGCGATCTGCTTATCGAGTAAATAATCTTTCGAGAGATAACATAAATGTATTATTACATAGAATGAAAAACAAATGATATACAGATAGACTCCTTTTTCTTTTTCTGCCGTCGGAAGACAAATTGAAAAGGATGATATTTGAATTCACAAGTCAAATAACATAACATTCTATTTTATTATTTCAGGGACGTGGAGGTGGATCCTATCGACCTTCATATGAAGGGCGACGTAAGTCTTCTATTTTATTCTTCCATAGGTTATGTATACATTTTTGTTGAAAGGTGGTGGCGTTGGTAATAGTAATAATCGATATGATAACGATGATAATACATCGAATTTTCTTAAAGGACCACCACCAAAAAATACTTTAATGGATTTTATGACATCAATAAAAATCTCAAATGATATTAAACAAACAATAGATAATGATAATCAAAAGTTAAAAGATCGACATGAAAATAAACGTCGAAATACTGAACAATATTATCAAACGAATAAAACTACAAATAGTATTAATACAACGAATGCATTAATAACGAGTAATTCAAATCAACATTATCAATCGAATAATAATAATTATACAGATCAAATAATATTTCAACAAGAAGGAATTCACGATCAATTAGATCCGGAAGATGATTCATCTCATTCAAATTATCGCGAAAGAAGAAATCCTTTACCCCCTAGGTTTGTATCTATTTATAAAACATGAAGAAAGAAAAATATTAGTGTTGATATATATAACAATATTAATAATTAATGCAAAAAAAAGAAAAGAAACATGCATGAAAGAAGATTTCTTTCTGTATAAAATATCGTACTCATGACCTCGAAAAAAAAAAAAAATTCTATTGAAACAAGTTAAACATTAAAATGTTTTCTATAGAAAAGCGGAAAAAATACGGAAATGTTTAATGCTTGTACCAGAATATCAAAAAGAGTTAGGCATGAAATAGATATCTAGCGAATAATAGCAAACAATAATCTCTGATTTTCATATAAAAAAGAATTATTGTTATAAAATAGTGATAATATTTCATTACAGTCGCATATCATTCCAATAGACTCTTAAAAGTAAATACTTTCAAAACAGCAAGATTATTTATTGATAAATAGAACAAATACTTAATCTAGTTTTATCGTTATTAGTAAACACAATGATAACCATCTAAATTGTATTTATCAATGTAAATGTAAAATATATGAATATGCAATATTAGGGGATTTTGTGAAACATGATCTAAAAGTAATGTTGAAGTATAGATGTTGAAATTTGGACCCATACCTTGACAACGCCTTCACTTCAGCACATCCTGTAACAGATTAACGAGAGACCCATTCTTCGTCTTAGCTCATATTTTGCTCATAATTAGGGTTCATCGTGTAGGTAAAAATCCTGAAAGACTTTTTACTATTAAGCCTTTTTTTTCGAGTCATCGTCATTTTACTGAATTTTCAGTCTATTGCAGAATATCACGATAAAAATAACAACAAGAAGTTTCAATCTGAAGTTCTCCTCAACAATAACTCTCATAGTCTTTATGATATCCTGAAGATTTCAGTTCAAATGAATATTTTGTTTCTGAGATAACATATATACGAGAAACATTACTCTCGCACAAGAGCTTCAAAAATAGTCTAATTTTTCTGCATAAGATATCTTACGAATAAACCATCTGTTTGAGCTAAATTCTTCAGGATGCCATAAGGATTATGAGAGTTATTGTTGCAAAGCATTTCAGATCGAAACTCTTTGTTGCGATTTTTCTCGTGATACTCTGTAATAGACTGAAAATTCAGTAAAATGATCATGACTCGAGAGAAAAAAAAAGGTTAATGGCAGGAACCCTAATTATGAACGAAAAATGAACAAAAACAAAGATTATCAGTGGAATGGATTCTCTCGTAGACTATGAAATTCAAACTTTCTGTGAGATAATTATAAAAGAAGATTAAGTATAATATGTTTATCTTCGAACTCCTGTCCAAAGTCACTAACGTACGACAGATAATATGTTTCATTGCAGACATTTCAGTACGTTGGAAGTGACAAATGGAAGTCTATGCTGTAGAATTCTTTAATTTATAAAGAATACAAATTCATCGTGTTGCCAATTTGAATCTTACAGAGTTTGGATGAATAACTTGTATTCTGTGTTGTGCTATAAATTGTAAATTATCATTCTTGAATTATTGATCTGAAAAATTCTTTCTTTAATCGTAACATCTACATTAGTAAAGTTCACTAATAAAGACACCGGAAAAAGATTCTCTTAGAAAAAAAAAACAAACAGAAAATTGAATTCATCATTATACCAAAATTCTTATGAATACTTAACAAATTTCATGATCAAAAGTATCATTTCCTCTTCTTCTTTTTCTTTGTGTTCATAAAATTGATTATTAATAATTCGAATTGACGTACTCATTTATATTCAATTATTCATATTAGACTTCAACGTGCTCAAGAAGAACGTACTCGTCGAAATACAAATCGTTATTATGATGAATCAACATCATTAAATGAAAATGAAGCAAATGGTAATTATCGTAATGGTACCATGAATAATAACTCATTGTCTTCCTCATCATCATATACACGACATGGAGATCCCATGTCCTATATTCCTCATAATGCATCTAATGGTCAACCACATACAACTACTATTAATTCCTATGCATCATATGGGAATATGCTTGCACCTGCACTTGGTTCAACTCCAACTCATCTAGCTTATTTTTCAGCTAATCCGCCGGTATTAAAAAATAAAGAAAAAAAAAAACTTCAAATCATTCTTTATATACTTTGATTTTTGTTCTCTTAAATTAGGGTCATTTAACATATAGTCTTACTAGTATTCCAAGTCCATCATTTCATAGTCAACAACCATCGATGGGTCCTGGATATGCAAATGATCATTTAACATTCTGTTATAGAGCTCCATATGTAGCTCCGACTTATCTTCCATCTGGAGTTACTAATGGTTTAAATGATGATTCAAAAATTTATAATAATAATAATTCATCTGTTTTACAAACAAATTCATGCGTTGATGAAAATGAAATAAAACCAACAAATGAATCTCAACAAGATGAAAATAAAAATAATGAAAATAAATCTCAATCTTCATCAATCGAACAAAAAGCAACTTCATCATCATCATCGTCCTCGTCGTCATCGTCATCATCATCATCATCAAATGATGGAAATAATAGTTCTCAACAAGTTATTGCTGAACAAAATGAAGATAAACGTCGAGATACAAATTCAGTATGATAAAAAAAAGAATTTTCTTTTTTTTAATTGAATTTTAATTTTTTTTTTTTTTTATATAGAATTCACGAATACGTTGGAGAATAGGTGATTTTTGTTTAGCTCGATGGAGTGAAGATCAAGAAGTAGATTTTAAAAAATTATAATTATAAAAATATTGATTATTTATTTATTTCCTAATAGTATTATGTCGCTTCTATTGTTCATATTCAACCTCCTTATTGTGTTGTTTTATTTCGTGATTATCATAATTACGACAAATTACATTTTAGTGAATTGAAAATACTGCCGCGTGATCAACAATATGTAAGTTTAAAAGTTTAATTCTTTTATTCCTTATCTACAAATTTAAACAAAGATTTAAAACAAAAAGAAAAAAGATTTAGTTTTTATCAAAAGAAAACTCTTTTGATCTTCTCATCCACGAGGATTCAAGATTAAATTATAATATAACCAATCGATTGGAGTTTATATACAACGAATATTATCCTATGTGATAACTAATATCGACATAATATGCTTTATACTTGTGCTGTTTTTTTGAATGTATCAAAACCAGTGAATATTTTTGAAGTCTGATTTGAGTCGCGTTCGATGCGCTTCAATGATGTTGATGTGTCTAAGCCCCATTTGTACTATCCGCAAAGTCGAAATCTACCCCAACTATTAATTAAGTAGATGCTCTACAAAAATTTTTGATTAGTAACATATATTCTGAAACTGTTTTCTTCTCGGTTAATTGGAATTTAGCTAGAAAATACTGTCTAAAATCGTGTATAGCTGAAACCGACAGTCGTAAGTGTTCCCGCCACTTTTTTAATGAGTACCGCGGTATACCAGTGGTAGTGCGAATAAACGTGTAACATAGGATGTGTTTAACTCGGAGACATTCGAAATAATAATTGTGAAATAAAGGTTTTCCGCTCGATTTATAAAAAGCATTTTGTCTCATTAATCATTTGTAGAAATGCTTCATGATTGAGAAAATAGCATTTAAGTCACTAAATGCAATTTTTACAAGATAGATTAGATATTTAAAACAAAAATAAAATAAAATAATCGATGGTTTTCTTCTCATTTATAGTACCAATATGTTCCACCAATAGCTGTACCACCACCTGATTTAAATGTTCTTGCAAATAATATTTGTTTTCCGCCACGTACAAATTACTATCCTCCAACAACTGATGAATGTATAATAATGCCAGAAGCTCCACCATTTCCATTTAATTCTGCCGGTACATTATATATGTGTCCACCAACATTAACATCTATTTCACGTTCAAATAATCGTTATAATACAAATGGTTTATCATCTTTTCAACAGATAAATAGACGTATGGAAAATGGAAATATTAATAATATTAATCATACAAATATTGATACAACAATAGATTCTTCATCAACACCAAGTAAAGATTCAAATGATACAAGTATAATTGATTCAACAACAATATCAATTGATGATAATCAACAATTACAACAACAACAACAACAAGATATATTATTATCAGCAGAAGGAATTCGACGATGTTCTATTGCTGATGCACCTATAATGCTAATTACACAAGATGATGAACATGAACGTAGTACAAGTACAGAAAGTTTAGCAAGTAGTAAATATGACGAACAACAATTGACAAATGAAGAGGAAAAACAAGAAAATAATTCTGTGGTTATTGTCAATTAAATCTGCATATATATATATGTATAAATATCAAAAAAGAGTGAGAGAGAGGGAGAGAGAAATGAAACGCATAAGCGATTAATTGTTAACATTCGGATAGTAATATTGTGTCGCATACGCATATGTTTACAGTGAGGACCTTATGTCTTGTTCTTCTATTTTTTATTTGATTATTTCTTTCGATACGAAAAAAAACAAATAACTACTTCTTTTTTTCTGTTAATACTTATTCATTGTTCTTTCGCTTGAATGTATCCGTTGTTTTTTCTCCCTCTCTCTCTCTCGCTCTCTTTCGCATAGTATTCACCTTGTTTTTTGTTTCTCTTGCTAAGGCACTCACTGATTTGTGCTTATTTATTTAATCTTTGTAAATGCTTCCCTTCTTTCGTGTTTTCTTTTTGTCACTAAATTGAACCTAACATATATGAATAGGGAGCTTAACAAGCATTCATTCATTTACCTATCCTAGATCTGTAAACAAAGAAAATAGAAAGAGATGAGTCTTTGTCTTTGTGAATTCTCTTTTAATTATTTAAAAGAAAGTCCACGTATATACACATAACGCTTTTTTTTTTAAATTTCTGATGTGCGATTGTTTGTTTGTTTGTTGTTATTGTTTTACTTTCTTTTTCTGGTGACGATACCATGATGCTCTCTCTCTCTCTTGTATCGCATGTGTGATTCTATGTTTGTTTTTTTCGTGTGTGTATTGTCACATTATTATTTCTGTTGCTATTACTATATCTCGAGCGTATGCATGTTTTCTCTGTCAATCTCTCTCTCTTTTTTTTTGTTTCGTTTCACTTTTTTTTTTTATTATTATCATCATCATTGAAAACAAAAAAACTGAAACTGGTTTTTAAACAAGAATATGAAAAAAAAAAAAAAAAAACAAAGTCAAACATATGGATGTATCTCTTGTTCTCTTTGATCTTTTTAGTTTTTTTTGTTTTTGTAATTATTTTATAGACAATGACAGATGAAAATACAATTGATTTTCAGTCAGCATCATCAAAAGTTCATGATGATAATAATAGTTCATTTATATTGAATCAATCTAATGTTCCAATGGATATTGATGTTGATAATGAAATAATAAAATCAGCTTCAACAAAAATCAATGGAGATATATCACCAACTTTACATACAATTGAGAATGAAAATAATCATGAACAAGATAATGAGGATGTTTTACGTCCAGGGTAAAAAAAGAAACTAATGTTCAAACAATATGAGATTTGTTTTAGGTTATTTTTCTAGAAATACAGAATTAAATAAATCGTTTGATATATTACCACAAACTAAAGATGATGACATTTCTGCAGCCGATTCAATATCAGATAATAGTGTAAGTGACTTTCTCTACAATATTCATTTAATGATTTTATTCTTTGTTTTTGTTTTTTTTTTGTAGGCTCCAAATACCAATATACTCGATACAACAGTTGAATTATCAATTCATAATGATGAATATAATGAAAAATCTTCTGGTACGAACTTCATTTTCTTTTCATATTGACTTTTCTTTTGCTTAAAATAATTTAATTCATATTTAGAAGATTTAAATTCAATTACAACAGTTAATGATATCGAAACACCTACAAGTGCTAAATCAATTTTACCAAATCAATTTTCTCGTATGTAAAAAAAGAAAACGAAAACGATTTTCTTTTTATTTATCAATTAATTTCTTCAGTTGAATATCCATATGAAATACCACAACCACAAGAAAATGTTCAACCTTCATCACCAACTCCTATTGAAACGGTAACGACATTGACAAATAATATGAAATTAGATATTAATAAGACATTAGAAGAACAAGGTATTCTATTAAAAAGTTATTCTCTCATTAAATAAGCTTTATATTTCTTTTCTTCTTTCTTTTGTTCCAAGAACGTTCAACACCAACATCTTCTACGGATAAAACATACGATACAAATACATATGTTCTAAAGAAGAAAGAACGACGAAAAATATCAACATTGGCTACTGAAAATAATTTTAATCGAGTAAATCTTTATTTATCATAGAAAACTTTTAAAAAATTAAATAATAATTTTTCTAGACTGTCGAAGATACTCCACCAGATTTATCTAGTAAAAAATCTCTGTCAAACACTCCGTCCATGTCACTAGATGCTGCTGTAACTTCTCGACCAGCTACAACAATTTCATCTTCACAACAGCCGCTTACAGATCCCACACGAATCATGTAAGAGTCAGAGTCTCGCCTATTGTTGTTCTCGTTCTCCTATTTTTTTTTTTTTACCAATCCAAGCGTCCTCGAGAGAAGGAAAAAAAACAAAGTATTTTTTTTTTTTTCCTGTTCTTAATGTCCATACGTTGGCACATCATTATTGCTTGCGATAGTAGTCCTCCATATTTTTTTTTCTCCACTCACAATACACCACATCATGTCGACATCGTCTGATGTTGATGACGATCTTGTAAATTTACGCCAAAAATTATCTTTATTACCGAGTATTTCATCAACAGCATCATCTTCATTTCATGAAGATGTTGAATATCGAACAAAAGATATTAATACATGTTCGTTAACTGATTTTATGAATGCTGAAAAAACAATTTTTCAACCAACAACAGAAACAGATATGATAAAAAGTCTTATTATGTGTAATGAAAATCCAATGGAAAAATCTTCGTTATTTCGTTCATTAATTGAACATACAGAACCAACAGTTAATGCTCAAGAATTAGCAGAACATTTTTCTTTAGCAAAACACAAAGAAAAAGATTCTAAAACTACTCAAATTGATGAACATCTTTTACGTCCATTTAGTGAGTGTGTTGAACAATATTATCGAATACTTTATCGTGTATGTGAATGTACGGAAGAAATCAAACAAGAATTACGACATGTTAAAAGTGAACGTGATCAAATGAGTGAAGATTTAATCAATGCTGAAAATGCTTATACTGATGTTAAAAAACGAAATGAAAAACTTAAATTAATTATTAATGAACATAAAATGGTTTGTAAAAAAACAAAAAAACTTTAATTATAAATAACAAACAAATTTTTCTTTAATGTTTAGAATACAGAAACATTAAAACGTTTTTCAGAAGAATCAGTTCGTTATACAGAAGAACAAAAACAAAAATATGCTGTACTTAAACAACATGCACAAGAAAAATTGAACGAGTATATATATATATTAATTAAAACAAATATAAACTATTATATTGTTCTTCAACTTCATTTTAGAGCTAATAGTGAAATCGAACGATTAAGACGAGTACATGGGTCAGAAACGGAAGCAGTACAAACACAATTGCGTTATACACAATTACGTGTACAATCTCTTGAACAAGAATTAAGATCTGTTAAACAAGAATTAGAACAAAAGGTAAAAATGAAATTCTTCTACATAAAGAAAAATATGAATTTTTTTTTTTTTTTTTTTGTTTAGAAAAAAGAAAACATTGAATTGACAAATATTTGTGATGAACTCTTAGCAACTAATAAAAGATAATTAAACTCTCAGAACGATTCAGAATATATATACTAGTATTCCAAAGTTTAAATTACGTTCAATCTGAGATTGAACGCGTCCAATGTCGGATTGACGGGAAAAATTTATGTCAAAAGTTAAATTTGTCTGTTGATCGATGTCAAATATAGAATCTTATTAATTCGTTCTTATGAAGTAATGATATTTCAAGTAATGCAATAATCAATGAATGAAACAAGTAAAGATTCGAAAAGTTATGATGGATAATTTGCCTTTGAACTCATTCTTGTTTATAAAATCCTGCATAACTTTCCAGATTTAAACTCACTTAATCAACTGATGATTGTATTACCTGAAATATCATTCTTTCGTCTAAATGAGTCAATTAGAATCCACGTCTGATGTTGATCTACAGACTAGTTTGAGTTTTAACATAAATTTTCCAGTCCATTCGACGTAATCTCAATTTGGATACTAACATATATTTATATATGTATTTCATACTCTATTAAACACTCCATTTCGATTTATAATTATTATTTTTTTTCTTATAATTTCTTGTTCTCATTTTCTACTAGTCTTATATTTTTTCTCTTCTGCTACGCTTCCTCTCGGTGTGTTTATCATGTAAAACTAAACAAAGGCGGACAATACTTATGTTTGTAGATAAATATCTAATGCATACATTCCTAAATCGATTGAATACTCTATTTGCTTTTACACTCACTGTTCTTGCAGTGCTTACATTTGGTGTTTTTCTTTCAACTTATTTTGAACAATATCATGGAACTCTTAGAATTAGTACAAATAAGGCTATTGTGTAAGAAGAAGAATTATTTATTTGATTATAAAAATGGTTTGCTTTTTTTTCTTATATACAGAAAACATATGACTGATTTTTCGGCTAATCGAAAGAAAAATGATTTAGGTATATTACAACTTGATTTGGATATGAGTAAGTTGTTTATTAAATAAAATGAAATTTTGATTATTTTATGGAAAAATTTTAGATCTTAATTCATTATTTGATTGGAATGTTAAAGAATTATTTCTATATTTAATTGCAGAATATGTTACACCAGCAAATGTGAGTATATATATATTTCATTTAAAATTTAAAAAAAAAAATATTTCAATTGCAGTTGTGGAAAGAATATAGTTGGACTAAAAATGTTGTTTTTAATATCTGCTACACAACAAAATAAGACATCTTTACAGTAAAATAAATGAACTGTTGATTACAAATTTATGGTTGATCTGTTTAGTAGAGTTGAATAAGAAATTTTTTGATATTCAAATGAGAGTAGAGGAAAATAGACGCATGACAATTATAGTTACAAATCTTAGGGGAAATGACATTACGCTAACTCGATTAATATCTAAGTTTAAGAATTAACGGATGAGAAGCAAAAATTGATCTATTAATAATTCTTAAAAAGTCAAAAAGTAACATAGCAATTAATATTTGACATAGCTAGAACACTTTATTTAATATCAGCATACTTCATCGATCAGATCTTCTTTGCATTAATTTCAAGTAAATTTTTATTTAAGAAGATATAAATTTTTTTTTTTTCGAAAGCAAAATGAAATAAATCGACTGAAGAATGATTAACACCTTGATGATTGTTCTTCAGGATAGAAAATGAAAATAAGAACCTTGTCTGTCTTGCTACATTAAGCTAGTCAGAATAGTACAGGATACAGAACAGAAAAAAATTTGTCCCATGCTCACCTCTAACATCAATAGACAAACAAGTAAAGTTATAAAAAAGAAAATGTTTTTTTTTTTTATCAAAAACCGAGGAGAACACAAACTCGTTTCTTGATTTCTATCACTGGATATCGATGTTTATCTATTCACCGCGAATGAATATGATTTGTCAAAAGTGCTTAGAAATGAAGAAAAATCAATAAAAATCAGGGTTTTGCTTTTAATCTTATTACTGGAGATTTTTTAAGACTGTTAGTATAGAAATCCGTTTGTTACTCCTTGGCAAAAACGAAAGATATTCTTTAGACAAGATTTCATCTTTTTTATATAAACGATCATTCAAAACATAGATAACTACAACCGAAAAAAAACAAGAAATATTATTCATTGTAATCGGATAATAGAAATTTTTTTTTTTTTTGGAAAAAGAATTCGTTCATTCAATACTAAAATCTATTATAATTATTTAGAGTCTTAATCAAGTAGTTCTGTGGGATCAAATACTTCTACGTGGTAATAATGCACGCATTAATTTGCATGATATTGTAACAAAATATTACTTTTGGGATGATGGAGAACATCTACGGTTTGTTTATTTAAGTTTTTCATTGTTATAATTCGACTTCTTTTTTTTTTTTTTTTTTCTTTTGAAATAGATCGAATAATGTAACATTAACACTTGCTTGGAATGTAATACCAAATGCTGGTGGTTTACCTCATATTCGAGCAAACGGATCTACATCTTTTATTTTTCCTGATCAATATACAACGAGTCGTTTGGTAAATTCAAAAATCTCCGGTCAAGAATAGAATGCAATAGTTAATTATATCTATTCTATTATTTTTCTTTCGTTTCTTCTTAAATTTTTTTCTGTTAAAGTTTTTTGTTTTTGTTTTTAAATATCAAAATTATAATATTGAAAAAGATAAATAATCACGATGAATAATATTATGTTTATTTATTTCTAAAATCTAGATTTAAAAAGAAAAGAANACTATTGCATTCTATTCTTGACCGGAGATTTTTGAATTTACCAAACGACTCGTTGTATATTGATCAGGAAAAATAAAAGATGTAGATCCGTTTGCTCGAATATGAGGTAAACCACCAGCATTTGGTATTACATTCCAAGCAAGTGTTAATGTTACATTATTCGATCTATTTCAAAAGAAAAGAATATATACATGTCCACTCAAGATCAGATTGTAAGTTATTTATAATGAAATTCTTTAGTATTTATTAAAATTGATCTCAATTCTACTATAATAGTTTCGTGAATTTCTTGAAACGTACAATCGCATTGTAGAAGAATGTTTCCATCGTTGTATTTATTCATTCAATTATCGATATTTACTTGATGAAGAGGTAGGTTTCAAAAAAAAAAATTCTATTTAGAGTAAATTTTTATTTTTTTCATCAAAATCATTTATTTTAATAATTGTATTAAGTAACTTTTGATTTGTATTAATAATAGCAAAAATAAATGTATATGTCAATTATAGATATTTATTTCTTTTATGCATTTAGGTTGATTGTGTAACTCGCTGTACATCAAAATATGTTAATTATAATCAACGAATGGCAATGAATTTTGCAGATATCCAAGCGAAAAAACTAATTAATATGCAAGAACAAGTTGAAGCACAATCACAAATGATGAATAATGAAATCAATGATAATTCTAAATCTTCTTGATGAAATCTATTAATCCTTTCTTTTTGCCTTGTTCTTGTTTGCGTTATTTTGTTTTTTGTTCTTTTTATAGTCATTTGAACATGAGTTTTTCTTGTTAAGAAATATATATTTCTTCGATACACATTGTCACAAATGATTGATAATTATTTTTTTTTTATTCTTTGCAATCATTGATGACAGTAAGACCCTAATAGAATATATAGAAGGAAAAGATAGTAATAATAAACAAAACAAAAAAAAAAAAGAAAGAAAATGGAAGTAACTCCTTATATATAGATTAGTTCCCAAAAAAACAAATGATAGATTTTCGATCTAAAAATAGATAGGTAAAATGAGCTTTAGAGTATTATGAAAGTTTCAGTCGAAAAGAATGTTCTGTCGTCGAGTTATTGAATATTTAAATGAAATTGTTTTTTGTAACAAAAGACGGTTTTTGAAGATTCAATATCTTGACGAAGAAACATTCTTTTCGACTGAAACTTTCAGAATACTCTAAGAGTCATTATATCTATCTATAAACAAAAAGTTTAGATCGAAATTCTGTTCTTTGATTTTTTGAGAATTATCTACAGCACGAATCGAAAATCTAGTAAACCAATCATAACTCGGCAACAAAGACCAATCGGAACAAGCCTTTTTTTAGACCTCTTTCAGTCTCACCGATCCTTCCTTGTGTGCTCAATATGAATTCAAACGGTGGGAATCACTTGGGGTAGCTTCTTCATTAATAAACCTGAAATTAATATGTATCAGGAAAATTTCCCAAAATATGAAAATACAACATATCACAATCAATTACTGAACAGGAAAAAAATTAGAAGCACACTATTGTACACATTTTTCAAGAATAGATATATGTTCAGCAAATCTTTTCCATCCATGCAAACATTTAATAGGGTATTCGGTCTGCAGCCAAGCTTTTCAAAATTCAATATTAATTGTTGGTTCTAATAAGAGTTCATTATTAATTAAATCTGATAGCACAGCTAAATATCTATTCTAATACTTGAAACACTTATCTTCTAAAGAACTATTCATCACATACACTCGCAAAACAAAAAAGTATGTGATCGTTGGAAGCAATGCTTAACTCTTCTTAGGGCGGTATAGTAAAAATAAGATAGAGATCATCACGCTGTTTTTGTGTAATAACTGGGAACAACAAAAATAACCATTTAAATAGGGACAATATATAAGACTAAGAAAGAGTTCTTCTTAATGTTGTAGATGTAGTATCTGCTATTCGAAAAGAATTTACCCTTGTAATTCCGTGTTGAATCTTAATTGTTGTTTTTTTTTTATTGATCATTGTATTTCAACTAATCTTAAGCGCGTTATTCAGTATTCAACGTATTTGAACTCAATTACCTAGTTTATCGTTATGATTGGTAATTTGACAGATACTATTTTGAATTCAAATCATCTTTTACATCTTTGTATGATTAATTAGTGAGTTAGTCTAATACTCATATGACGAACGAGAACGTTTATCATAAATTTATTTCTGTCATAATAATTGATTTATATTTTTAGAAATAATATTTTGATTGCAAAAGATATTGATATCATTAAAATACACTTGCTGTACTTCTATTTTTTGTAAACTATAATGTTTGATATATGACGTTCGTATATTTGATTGATTTTCTATTTTGATCGATAGCTTCTATTTTTGTTGTTTATATTTTAATTAAACAAAAAGTTCGATTTATTTCTAATTAATGATATTGAGCATGAATGTCACGCAAATTTCATCATGATTTAATAAGTTGTGATGAGGATGTATAAATAAAAGCAGGTTACATTCAAATTGTCATTCATCAATTTTAACTACGATGAAAAGTCAAAATCTTTAAATATATACTTATTAAATACATATTTCGAAAAAACAATCGAGTACAATTATTTAAACAGATACTACATCATTATAAACAGGAAACGAAACCGCTCATTAATTATTGTTGTCTCAAGCTTATGTTATTCACCTATCGCTTTTATTTACACCTAATCACTCTCAATCCTTCATTTTTGTTTTCTTTGTACATTGAAATAAAAACGACAAGAAAAGAAACTATTCATCAAAATTGTTTGGCAAGTATAGCATCAACAAATGTCCATGAATTTCTTTGTCCTTCAAGTATTGTCAATGAAAGATAATTGATTTTTTGTGCTATTTGTGTTAATTCAGTAGGTCTTGGTTGTGCACCAATTAATTGTCTTGTTAAAGTTTCTAATGATGGTGCATGGCCAATAAATAATATAGTCATATCATTTGTATCATGTTTCGATAAGATTTGACGCATTATTGTATATGATCGTACATAATAATCATGCTCATTTTCATCTGTTGATAAAGATTTTTGCATACTATTATATGATGTTTCAATATTTAAACGATTAAGAACAAGTTCATTGATTGACATAAAATGTGGTATAACACCTTTATGCCATAGACCACATTCAAATAGACCTAATTCAATACGTATTGGTACTAATGTACGTAATTTCATTCCATCAAGAATAGCATCAGCTGTTTGAATACAACGTAATGATGGAGATGAATAACAATAATCAATACGAAGACCTGTACGATAAAGTGCTTCACCTATAATGAAATAAAATAAAACAAATAATAATTTAGAAAACAAGAAAACATGAATAATATGAAACCTGTTCTAAATGAACGTATTAAACCAAGTTCAGTTAATGGTGGATCATATCGATAATCTTGAAAATTTTGTCTATATGGTAAACTAATTGGTAAATTTGTATGAAAACGTCGATAGTTTCCTGTTCCATCAAATGCTTGTTGAAACCAATTATCACCAAATAAAGCATCAACACGTTCTCCATGACGTATTATAATTAATTTTGTTTTGGCTCGTCTTTTTTGTCGAATTTGTTGTTGTTGTGAAACAGAATTTTCATTATTATTATTAGCTAAAGATTTTGTTTCAAAATTATATTCTTGTTTTGGTGATATGGATACAAGTTTATCAATATTATTCATTGATAATGGTTGATCATGTTCATTAACACCACATGATAAACAAGATGTACCTTTAAATACTTCAAATGAACGTTGTCGTCGTGTATTAATAACTTTTGATAATGATCGACTACGTTGAAATGTTGATAGATTAGAATTACTTGAACTTTTAGAATTAATATTTGGATCGTAAGATCCTTCAAATTGACCAAGAAAACGATTGAGTAATTTTTGAAATGTAGACATACTAAAAAAAGAAAAGAAGGCATGAATATTAACTTTTTTTTTCTCATATCGATTTAATGTAGGTGTTCATTTTTTTTTTTATTGCAATTGTACAAACTTCGAACTATAATTTATTTTAGGTCAAGTGTGGAATATTATCATTTAGTAAATGATTATTCTATGTACTTGCCTAGGCTTTTTTTCTTTGTCGTTATAAAATTACAATTGATTTGATTTTCTTTCTATTTAATGATAAGTGTTAAAAATTTAAGTTAATGTATTTATTGAAAATGTCTAAATATATGTATCTGTCATTGTCTTTTACTATTCAAATAAGTTTATGATGGTTTATATGTAAGTATCAAAGGAAATAAATGACCATCACATCATACATGTATGAATAGAACAAACTTGAACAAACAAAAATCGGGATAGGTAAAAGAAGCAAAGGCGATGACGAATTTTTTCTCCTCCTCTACATTCTTCTCCTCTCTTTCAATAATTGTCTTGATCGATGATAGATATACATATATATATATGTCTTTCACGTTGTTCAGAGCACGAAAAGAAGGACAAATACAAACAGGTTGATCTGATTTTGGACAGACGATAAAAATATATATGATCTATTGTTCTTTTTTTTTTTGTTCGCTTAATAAAAGAAATATATCATTATATATTGTATAGAATTGAAATGACATTGCCGCTCAATTGAAGTTATAATGGAGCGAATATGAGGATTGTTCATATTACTAAAGTTTGATAAGATAAGATTTAAAAAAAAAGTAATCGATTTGTGGGACGGTTAATACATATGTATATACAAGCAATTTAGTGAATGAATGAATGAATGAATTTAAATTGATGTCAAATTATGATATTTTAGACAGCTAGATAAAGTGTTTTTTTTTTATGTCATTAAATGTTAATCATTCTAATGAATTATTTCATTAATATTTTCGTCCTAGTGAAACTATTTGAGATTCTGTTAGAATCTTGGAATAAGAAATCAAGTGTAAATTTCAAAAAAAAAAAAAAAGAAAGGTTTTAAAGAAAAAGAAGGATGATATTTTGAGAACAAATAAAAAAAATGACAAAATTACTTGTCATTATAGTAGAAAATTCAATTCAATATATTTCTCTGTTTGCCAAAGCAACTTTTTAATGTAAAGGATACAATAGTCGATATTAAACCTTATTCAAGGACTCCAAACGACATTTTTATGATGAAATGAATATTATTTTTAATAGATACATCAATGTCATTGATTAAAATGGGCATGTTCATCGGAGTAAACCCATGATTTTGACTAAACATCAAACTCATTGTATCTGTTTGATTGCGATGATAGTTTTAATCAATGACATTGAAATACACTGATATTAGTGTTCGTTTCATCGATTGACATGTCACTTTTTTTCATACATTTGAAGTCAATTGTCATGAAATTAATGAATATTTTTAAATTTTTACGATAATAATTATTTGAAGAATAAAAAATATGAATCCCAAAAGAGTATAGAAGATCCTAGAATCCATCAGGATTCACTAGGAGTGTGAGTGTGCTGATAATTAGTTACGATTTTACTGCAATATTTGCGCTTGTAGTATGAGCTTAAGCTAACATTCAATCTTGTATACTGTTTTCTTTTTTCAGTACTGAATTGAGATACATAATTTAAATAATAAGTTTAAACATTGAAAAACATAATAATATCAATTACTATTTCAAGTTATTTTTCTCTTCCAATCTCTGCTTCAAAAGAACGATTAAGATTTGTCATAAAAACTATTTACAAAAGTTTCATTGCTTATTGATTACCTAATCTTTGACTGACAGAATAGATATATGAATATAGTTGCATGTAACTATAAAAATAAATTAACAAAAGTAATACACAAATGAAATGAACAACATGACAAGTACATTATAGATGATTATAAAAACTAATTTCGAGAATTGATATCATACAGCCGCGAAGTGCTTTGACGAATTGACTACCTTGTTCTATTATAAAAATTTCGTTTTTTTTTGTTTTTAGACGTACAAATGACGCCTATATAAATAGACAACTGTACTAATTTCCGTACGCTTGTCTTATCAGTCTTGAACTATTAATAAGTTACATAGATAGACAGTGGCTGTAAAAATTATCAAACTGCTAGATTATTTTATTTTGTTTTATACATGCCTCACAAACAAGATGAGTTAGAATGATCTCATTTTCGTTAGATTACAGTACAATCGCATCATACTGTTTTTCATCGTTTCAAAATTAGCTAACCATTTATTTTTGCAAGCTGTTGCACGTCTATTCTAAGTTGAAATTTTCTTTATGATACAGGATTCAATAGAATAAATTGCATTCAGCATAAAGAGTACTTTGTATTATAGTTTCCCTTTTATTATGAGTTAAAAAACAATATTCCTAAAATTATGCAAGAAAAGACGACAAAAGACACTCTTTTTTTCATCGGATATTTAGCCAATTTGATTGTTCAATATATCATTAATAAGAGCATTACAAATTGCATGAATTATTGTATGGTCTCATTCATGTATTGCAGGAGATATAAAGAATTGTTTTCGAAGCGTGGGTTTGAAGGAAACTTTTTCCGTACAGAATTTTTTAACTTATAGCCCAGTCAGACAAAAATTTTGAAAAACGCGTTTAAACGCACAATCGGAAACCGCGATTGTGATCCATTAACGCTCATTAAAGAGACGCACGAAAACGCGTTTATTGGCGTTTTTTATAGCTTTGTGCGCGGTAAAAAGGCGAAAACGTCAATAATTGATCGNGCACAATTATTGTAGAACTTAAAAACCATACGTTTTAACGCTCAAAAATTGGAGTTTTCACCGTTTTAACACCCAGAAAGTTGCAAAAAACGCCAATAAACGCGTTTTCGTGCGTTTTTTTAATGAGCGTTAATGGATCACAGTCGCGGTTCCCGATTGCGCGTTTAAACGCGTTTTTCAAAATTTTTGTCTGACTGGGAGGCTCTCGTTATGAATAACAGAAATAAAATTTTACTGTCGTCTCAGCAATAGTCGAAGTGCAGAACTCATGAAATATATAGCTAACTTTTGAGCATCACATTTATGTAGATGGAGAATGAAATTTACAACAACACGCGATGTTAAATTTCATTTAACACATCTTTGCGTTGATGAGATAGATGTCTAGTCTGTTACTGCAACTATGGTGAGGCTTTTCTTCTTATTATTAATAACTTAACAAAGATATTTAACTTTAAAAAATTTTGTACGGAAAAAGGTTCCCTAAAAATTCACATTTATAGAACAGTTTTTTTATATCTCCTGCAATGCGTGAATGAGACCATACAATAATTCATGCAACTTGTAATGCTCTTATTAATGATATATTGAACAATCAAATTGGCTAAATATCTGATGAAAAAAATAGTGTCTTTTGTCGTCTTTTCTTGCATAATTTTAGGAATATTGTTTTTTAACTTATAATAAAAGGGAAACTATAATACAAAGTACTCTTTATGCTGAATGCAATTTGTTCTATTGAATCCTGTATCATAAAGAAAATTTCAACATAGAATAGGCGTGCAACAGCTTGCAAAAATAAATGGTTGGATAATTGTGAAAAGATGAAAAACAGCATGGTGCCATAGTATCGTCAACAAAAACTCAAAAAGACTAATGGACTGATGTGAAAGTGCTTTTCCTAGTATACTGAAGACTATGAACTATAATCCGACGCCAATCAGATCAATCTAGCTCATCTAATTTTGAGATATATACAAAATAAAATAAAATAATCTTGTGGTTTGATAATTTTGACTGTCCCTATATATATATATATATTTCTACGACATTGAACTATCAAATCAATCACACTAAACTTATTTAATTGATGCTATTCGTGAACGTTACATTGCGCGATCACCGTAAGTCATACTGACTAGATGATTATTTTAGTCATATTTATAATATAATCATTCAGACTGTAGGCGCTACGTGATCACACACATAATATTTACTGCTTGGTCGTTTTAATCATGTTACCGACAGATAGACACAAGTGAATTTCTGTCTCTAGACGTTATCGTTACAGTCTAGAGAAAAGAACTAGTTTGAAATAAAAATATGATCCTTATTTATGCAATATTACATTGGGATTTGTGTTACAAAAGTCTAACGCATTTTTTTAATAATCAGTATTTGTCTCCTGGCATTACTGTAAAATAGAATTGAAATCAGCTATCCAACTTCGCAGTAAGAAACAGTTCGCAACAATAATTTAATATAATGAACATGAATATAATAAAATCTTATAAAGTCTTACATATCAAGATAAATATTAATACAGATTCGAAGATAAGCATGTTTATAACAAAAATTTTCATTAGGTATTACACTACTATTACTACACTGTTTTTAATCATTGGAAAAAGAATAGAAGATAAATTTATTTATTTAAATTAATATATTTCTGTGAATAGTTCGATGATAACTTGCAGTTAACTTCGAATTAAGTTTAAAATATCAATGAAAATAGCTTTTTAGAAATATATTTCGATTTACTTGTTCGCTTAAACATCTTTCTGGATTTCAAGATCTTCAATATTGAAAATAGTGATATATTTCTTTTGTCATCAGTCATTTTCGAACACAAAGGTCGGACATTTCAAAAGATATGATAGAAACATTTTTTTTAAAGTTACAAACTTTAAAAAATTTTCTCATTTTTTTATCTCGTTAAATTTGAATTGATATTTCTTGTAATATCGAATCGTTAATAATATTGTTAGCCAACGTGAGACAGCATATGACATGCAAAAAGCAAAAATATCTACATTAGGTATCATGAATCATTATGTAAATGAATGTTTTGTTCTTTTCATCACTTATATATGTCGATCCGTTGTTAATATTTTCAATCGAATATATTTGTATTTAGCTATTGAATGATAACGATGCTGCAGAAAATATTAAAGGTATCTCTTAACATTTTTGTGAAACTCATATCGTAACAGATCAATCGAATTCTGGAAGCAGTATAGTTAGAATAGATTGGAAAAGTTGATGAAGTTCATGTTGTTTGTAAATATGTACTCGACATTATATGTTTGGACTATTGCAAAAGTTGTTTCAAAAGCGTACAGAATTATGATAGAGTTCAGTGAATTTTACAATAAAATGGAAGTTTTTCGCATACTGACAATGAAATATATTAGCTTTTAGAAAAACTTTTTTCTCATATGAGGATTCAACAATGAAGTGCGATTTGATGAACTCCACATTCAGCAAAATTAACATGACTTCAATTATTTTTTACATAGAAATATATATAATAAAATATTTGCAATATGTTCACTTATCGAATAGGTTCAATTGTTAATAAGAATCAATCAAGGAAATAAAATAATTTCAAAAGAAACTTTATGTAACATTTGTGTTTTCAAATATTTGATATCATTGTATTTTTGTGCTTCAATTGTTTAAGATTAGTTTGAATAGATATTATGGATGAAGTTAGATGAAATAAAACTTTAAGGATCATTGAATGAAATTATGAAAAGCTGAAGTATATCACTTCAGCTGTAGAGAAGCAATTTATGTTTTTTTTAGTAGTGCATATTTTTGATATTCGTTTTATTACTCTCAAGTGTTAAAAATATGCATAAATTGAAACAAGTATTGAATCGATTTTCTTTCTTTTTCATCCATAGTTTTAATGGTTAGTGTGTGTTCTAAAAATTAGTGTAAGTTATTTCTTAATAATTCTTTGAACAAAACTTATTTTCTGAGAATTAAAAGTCTTTCTTGATAGATCATTATCATAACACACGAAAGAAAAACATGACTTATACGACCTACAATAAAAAAAATTCGTTCTATTTTTTTTTTCGTGCTTTATTATTATATTATGTCATTTTGATTCTCATATAACAAAAACCTATTGGCATATAGTTTGAATAACTTGATGATGAAATCGATGATCGTCAAAATGAAAGACGACGTTAAAGTAGTAATACTAGGAAAAGACATTATTAACGGACAATATACGTTCGCATACTTATGATGTAGAATGATATATCAAATCATTAAATGTTGCTCCGAAATCGTTGGCTACTATTATTATTATTATCTGTTTAGCTAGACGACTTGAACTTATTTCATTCAATAGTTGACATTTTGAGTTATATCATTTCCTTTTGTCATCGTTCATAAAGACTACTAGTTTATAAATGATGATATTCAAAAGTTCTCGAGTCAGACATTCAACTTTCATACTTAATTAAATTTCGACAGTATTTGAAGTTTGAAAAAATTCAATGAGGTTTTATTTTATACATTGTATGAATTGCACTTAACAGTATTTTCGTAAATATCCTGCTGTTCACTATTACACTTTCAACTTGTCTTTTATCGACATGTTTTCATTTTATTACTGAATCAATACATATATAGAGTGGATCATAAATAATACTACAATAAAAAAAATGCAATATCTCCGCTTTGATTTAATCAAATAGGTTAATTTTTTGGCTAATAGTAGAAATTTCTCGAAGTTGTTTTTGTTTTATACGGATAAGATAAACAAATACTACTATTAAGTATTATTTTTGGTATTATGAAAGCAATGTTACTTGTTATTAAGTAAGAAAAACACATATGTGTATATGTCATAGACGATTTTCAATTGTCATCAAAAAGAATAAGAAGAAAAAATCAAAACGCACTTTATCAATAATACTATATTGATGCATATAGAATAAACTTTTAGAGTTAGTTAATTTAAATGTCAACAATTACAATATTTCGAATTTGCATCGATGGAACATTATTTTTTTTTCTCAAAACGAATTGATCTTTCTTGTCCACAGGGCTACATATTGTATGTTTTACTTATATGGCACTGATTTCAGCATCAAAACTGACTGGTTTTGAGATCTTTCTCTATGTACATTAAAATACTATCATTCATAAAGTTTGTTTTGATTTCTTATTATTATTCTCTTTGATAACAACTGAAATTTATCTATGAAACACTTTATATTTCTTTTTCTTACTTAACAAAAGGCAAAACTTCTTCTGTAATGTTGAAAACATAACTCGATAGTCATATTTGTTGACCTTATTCGTATGAAAAAGCAAATCATGAAATAATCTAGTACTACTAACCAAAAAAATCAGCCCATTCGAGTGAACCGAAGCGGAAATATTTCAATTTTTTCTTCTAGTGCTATTTGTGGCTCATTCTATATACAGTGAGCATCAAAAATGATTCAACAAGATTTATTTTTAATTTTTTTCGCTATCATAAGTGCTAAACAGATTTCCAATAGTAAATCAAGTGGAGGAAACTATTCTCAAAAATAATATAAGGAAATCAAAACTATAATAAGATTTTCAAAGATAAGAACTCCAGAAAATTGGAGCATTAGTTCTTCAGCACATAGAACACGTCAATATAATTCTATTGAGACTATATCGAACACTAGAGTAAATCATTGTTTACAACGTTTTTTTTAGCCTAGATATAGTAATTTGATTAAAGGTTGAAAAATAGCTTTTCTATAGGAGACCATGAAAAAGATACGACTTTACGAATTTCCATAAAATTGCTATATGTCAGCTAACAAGCCTTTGTAGAAAATTCGACGATGTCTAATTTTGTAAAGAATTGTTTACTCTATCATTCTATGTGATCTAAACAATTATAATATTTACACATTCTAAGTGCTGAAAAACTAGGATTTTGATTTTCTGAAATATCTATCTTTGGGAACTTCATAATAAGTTTTATTTCCTATTATTCCTATTCGAAACAATTTTCTCAACTGTAATCACTATTTAGATTTTGTCTAGTGCTTATGATATCGGAAAAAAATAAAATAAATAAATCTTGTTGCATAATTTTAGTGTCTACTATATATCTACAGAAACATGAATGAAAATGCTGATCATTATGTCAACAAATTCTTGCTTCGTCAGACATTAATATCCAATTACTTTTACTAATGATCCTACTGCTAATATATTTTTAAGATGTAATTTCATATTGTTGATCGTAACAGAAGTATTTATTTATTGTTGAAAAAATAATGCATCTATATATATTAATCATTATTTTTATCTAAAAGAACAACATTATATCCCATGACTCAGATATTTTTCTTTATATGCACCAACTTAAATATGACTGTATGAAAGGAAAAACACCAATATTTCAAAAAACATATTCAAGCAGAATGTATTAAAACAAGTAAATGAATATTTGGATAGTCGAGATAAATGTAACCCTTTTTTTTTTTTATCAAAATTTACCAAATCACTGTTAATCCAAAAGTAATACATATGACATTTATTTCTTTTTCTTTTTCTTTTTGTTAAATAATTTAAAATGCTAAGAATGATTCAAAATCATATAATTTCAATAGTCATATATCAAAACTTGTCATTTTCTTATTAAATGTTTCAATGAATAAAGTGAAAAAAAACGGTTTTTTTTTTGTTTTTTTTTTTATTTCAACCAAGTAATTTGAATTTTCTATTTCTTCAAATATCAATATCAAAATCTATGAGATGAAGAGAATAGTAGTTGAGACTATTGTCACATCAAATATCTACATATATACTTGTACTGTGCACAATTATTGATCGATTGCGAAACAAACTTTAAAAGAGAGAACAGTTGACCTTGCTCGTAACACACTGCAACTTTCAAGGTCAAAACCCACATACGACTGCATAATTTTATTTATTACGATCTTTGGTAAAGAACGGAAAGGTAACAAGAGAAAGAAGGAGAAGAAGAGAAAAAAAAATCGGAGACTTCCTTAGTTGATCCTTTGTATTCTCTTTAACGGGCTTCAACGCAAATGTATGTGTGCCACAGTTATATATATAAATTTTTTTTTTTCAACTGCCACATACAAAGTTGAAGAAGAAAAAAAGAAAACAGAACAGAATGAAGACAAGAAGAAGTAAAGAGAAAAAAAAGAACCTCAGAAAGAGTTTTGAAAAGAACACATGCTTGTATGCATGTGCCTTTAAAAAAAAACGACAATGACATGACCCTGAAAGATGGGCTGGTCCCGTTGTTGCATGGTGATTACGAAACTAGTTGACGTTAGTCAGCGGTAAGAGTCACTGTCATCAGTTCTTTTTCTTTGCTTCATTTTTTTTCTACGACTCATGTTTTTTTTTTTATGTCATACAATCACATATATATATATTTGGCATATAGTGAGGTAAACATGTTATTCATTGGAAAGAAGCAGAGAAGAAAAAAAAAGAAAAATTCGAGTGTCACCTACTAATAGATCTTAGACATTATGAATTGGTTAAGTAGAATTTCTTTTTTCTTTCAATAAATATTATTGAAAAAAAACCAAAAAATATTGTTTTTCTTTGTTTTGCCTTTTGAGTGATGAAAACACGAAGTCATACGATTAGAACAGCAGTAGCAATAATAATAACAACAGCATTAACATTATAATGTTTGTTGCTATTTTGGGTATACATAAGCTTATATGCACGACGAACCGATTAATTTGAAACGTTAGTTGATAGGAAAAAAAAAACACGCTAACGAAACTTTTGCATATCGATAAAATTTTTGAAAGAGAAGAAAAAATGTTTAATCATCAAATTATTGAATTCATAATTTGAATTTATTTTTACTTGTTTAGATATATTTAAAATATTATTGAATACATATATTTATAAAATAAATGGTCACAGCTAATCTAAGTCACGAACAGCGACCATCATCAGGAGCTGATAATGAAGATGATGAGAATAACAATCGACAAATTCACACACGTCTTGTAAGTTTCTCATATTGTCTTTTTTTATTATGATATGTAAAAATAAAAATGAGTCAGATAGATAATGATTCATCACACTCGTTAAACTTGCAAGTTTAATCATAGTTTTTTTTTCTGAATCTTAAATAGGATCGTTTATATTTGGAAACTCCTCAATATCCTCACTCTCATCATCAATATTCACAAAGTACTCTTTCACCCTCGAATTTACGTGATACACATATGTCATTAAATACTGTTCCTGTCTATCGTCATGGACGTAAATTTTACGTTTCTGTCGAAGAATTTGAACGTATGCGTATTGAAGAACGACGACATCGTCGTACACTTATGCAAAAATCTCAAAATTTACCTGTAACAAAATCTCATCAAACAAATTTACTATCACCGTCAACATCTTTATATAATTCCATTCATCGAAGTGCTTCACAGTCACATGATCATAGATATGGTATACTTAGAACACCTTATTTATCTACTAATTCAATAACAAATAATCATAATAATAATAATCATCTATCTGAATCGACTAGACAATCTCGTTCAACATTTAGATATTACGATGATCAAGATGATTTGCCATCAATTACATCAAGATTACCAATGAAATTACCAACAACTGCTATTCGTTCGAATTCATCAGATAAAGTACTCGATCTTCGAAGAAGTCCACAATCACCAATACCATCTTATCGCGGCTATATTCCCGATGATTATGAAATAAAACGTTCATTTTCAGCTGAACTAGTACAACCACCACGAACTCAATTACAACAACCACAAGTATTACCTCGTCGAATAGTTTCATCTAAAACTTCTGATTTTGCCATGTCTACTAAATCAACATTTCCTATGACACCTACTGATCAAACATATAATCAATCAAATGCATCAAAATTAACAAGTTATTTTACTCGAGTACAACCATCAACATTAAATTCTCCAGTAAAATTATCTACATCAGATGTTAAGGGAACAAATTCAATATATGGCAGTGATATGCAAGATTCTGATCAAATTTATTCTGTTCTTACATCCTCAAATCGACCTACTGGAGGTAATGGTTTAGCATCTGTGTTAGCACGATCACCATCAAATAATAGTAACAATGAATATTATATTCGAGATGTAACAAGTGGATCGTTTTCTGATGATAATTCATCATCACCATCAACATTAATTCAACGACGAAATACAGATACGAATCGTTATCGTCGAGCTCAAATTGTTGTTGATACAGATGATGATTATAGACAGCAGGATGATGTATGGACTCGTTCAACTGCACGAAGTCAATCAAGTGATCGTTTAACAGAAAAAAAACGTGTTCGTTTTGCTGATATGGAAGGTCTTACATTGGAAACAGTTTCTGATGCTGAACAACAACAACAACAACAACAACAACAACTGTTACCTATGAATAATCGTTTATTCGCTAAACGATCATATATTCCACCATCAAATAATCTTCGAGGACAAGAACAATCATTTCATAATTCAATTTATCAAACAACTACTAGAGTTAATAATGGTGGAAGTAAACTTGCGACCGATGTTTAATTTTTGTTCTGCACATGAATGTTGTTTTTTTTTTTTGTGTGCCAGCAGTTATTTTTTAATGATCAGAATGAAAAAAACAAAATAATTTATTAGTCTTGTTATTTGTATATACGTGCAGAAAAAAAAACAAGAGCGACAGAAAGTTTAACCGATAAAATTTGAGCAATTAATTCAAAGATTGGTAATTTTATTATATAAATTTCTTCTTTGTCATAGTCACAGAAAAATAAAGAGCAAATATAATATAATAGTTTTAGATTAAAAATCTGTGGATAGTATGTTGTTTTCATCAATATTACTTTTGCGCGCTTTTCCACTACGACCCTCTTGACCGGCTGTTTTTCGAGGTTGAGATGATGTTGGAAGACGAGGATTATTTCTAGATGCTTTGCTAGTGGGTGCAGAAACCATTTCATGAGAATCGATTCGCTTTTGATTGACATCTTTTGGTTGAATCTTAGTTGATGATTTAGCAACGGGTTTTGCAGTTGTATAAGGAGCAGAAGGTATTGATTGTATCTCTGCAATAGCATAATAGTTGTTAGAAGAAGATTGATTAGCACGTTTATCTGCTGTCTAGAAAAAATGTGCGGGACCAATTTTTAGTTCCAGTTCCAATCCTGGTCACTGGGATCAGAACCAGCATCGTGAGACAAAAATGTACCAGCATCGGGACAATTAGGAAGAAGTTATCTCAACAGGAACTAAAGATTATAGTTAAATATTGTACGTTTTCAATTGAATCATCTTATGAAGCATATTAATAAATACATAATTCAAGATAAATGATCCAAAAAGTGCCAGTTATTGTTTAGGTTAATTAAAAGACTAGTATTGAACTACTAGACAAGAAGTTACCGAAACCAGGGCTGCACTGCAGTCGGAAGCTAAATACTTGGTCTCGCATATCTTTCGTACTTTCTCTTCGATTAAAGCTATGTTAGACATTGTTAAAATAAAAATATTCTATAATGATTGATATTACTTCATTTATTAATTATGTGTTTTTTAATGGTTATGACTTAACTGTTAAAAATCTGTCTTAACCTCTTTCGTTTTTAATACAGAAAATCATAGTGAAGAAAGAGAGGAATTTTGTCTCAAGATGACTATAAAACAAAAATATTGAAACAGATTACTTACCTCTTTTTCGAGCATTCATATTTTGATTAGCCGTTTTAGTTAGACGTTCAGTGCTCCTAATACTACTTTTTCCATAATCACTATCGTTCGAAATGCTTAATTCATCATCATTGGAATAACTGGAACGAGAATTTCTGGAACGTCGACAGCAAAGAAATATAAATAAAGCCTGAACATGTAAAAAGACAATGGATTGATACAGAAAATATGATTTAACGTACTTACAATGATCAAAAGAAAAGAGATGCCAGCCAATATAATACTCGTTAAAAAAATTCCTGTGTAAGTAGTTCGAGAAATGCAATGGGCATCATTGAATAAGATAACCATTTCCGGATCTACGAAAATAAAAGTAAATTTTACAAGAAAGACGCTTACTTACATGGGCAAGTAGCCGTTTCTGTCATCATTGTTGTTGTTGTTGGTGTTATTGTTATTATTGTTGTTGTTATTGGTGTTGTTGTTGTTGTTGTTGTTGTTGTTTCTGTTTCTGTTGTTTCTCTTTGTGAATCGCTTGATTCATTAGAAATTTCAGCTGTTGTTGAACCGCTGAATGCATTAAGATTTGCTGTAACGTCGGTGGCTGTACAAAAAATCAATAGAAAAAATAATATTAGAAAATAAAAGTCTGATCTTGTAAAAATATTATACTATGTGATTGAGCGATAATTGAATGTGAATGAAGAACCAGTAATAACAATATCAAAAAAATGTTACGAACAGCCATAATACAGAAATAATAGATAATGTCAACACAAAAAATGAAGTCTTTTCAGTAGATGAGAATACGACGTTTTGTATTTGTTCGTTCGTTTCTTTTTCATTGAAAGATGTCTTCTTTTTAGTCTTTATCTATAATCAACAAAACACCATTCTTCTTCGCCTACACTCACTTAAAATATACATTCATGAAAAGCAGAGAAAATGAGAAAAAATGATATTGAAAGCTATACAACATATACGGATACGTTTTCTTTCATACTCACCTTTTCTTTACATATTCTATAAAATCTCTTATTAAGAGAAAAATATCTTTTATGTAGATGTAACGATGATGCACGAGTACGAGTAGCATGTGATAACGAATATTTTTTTTTTATCGAAAAATCCAAAATAAAAAGGACTTATTTAAGATTTTCTACATTGTATGACTAATTCGTAAAAAAGTCAAGAATTTTTTTTTTACTATATGAAGCATGACATATTTTTTATATACATAATAAGATAAATCAATCTAATGATATTATCTATGTTATTAATTTGTTTATAAGGACAATGTTTTATATTACCAAAACCATTATAACCAAACAAAAATTTCTAAAACTATCTATAGTAAAATAAATAGTGTCATTTTGACTCCAAGACTTTTAATTTTGTTTATATTTCAAATTCGATTGATTACTAAATGATTATCATTGATTATATCTTGTATTACTTTCTAATATGTGTTCGTTACATGTTTTTGACAGACAGGATCAGTGAGATCAATCTATATTGTTAAATATTTGAAATATTGCTTAATATGCATTTTTTTTTCTGAATATAATTTTCTATGGCAATATTTTCTTGTAATCAATGTAGTTATCATCACAATGACAGTGATGATAATGTAGTGGTAATGAATATACTTTCATAAGTCATGGATAAAATTCTGTCAAAAAAAAAATTGAGTATGACTCATCAATATCGATGTTGAACACAGGGTTGCCAGATCAAAATCTTAGAAATCGGAATTTTTTTGCTTGAATTCGGAAAAATTCGGAAAAAATATCTGGCTAATTCGGAAAAAAATTCGGAAAGTCGTTTCTAAGCTTCTTGATGCCTAAATGATTTTTTTTCTGATAGAGAAGCCTTCTGAGTTTGATTATTCTTTCTGTAGATATATTTCATCAATGTTAAAATCAATGTGTTACCCCCCCCACCCCCCCCCCCCCCCCCCCCCCCCCCCCCCCCCCCCCCCCCCCCCCCCCCCCCCCCCCCCCCCCCCCNTATTCTTCTTCTTCTTCTTCTTCTAAACCTCCAAAGAGAGTCCGACCGCGTTACCGAATAGGAACTGTGATCTTCAGGAGGTATAGGTCTTCAGCGCTTTCCAACCAGACTTTGTAATCGTGTGTAGGTTCTTTCCTGGTCTGGAGGTCTATGCCTCTGCGATGTACTGTAATTTCTAAGGCTTGAGCGGCCTTAGAATCTGGTGTGCAGTTGTGTGGGTACCACGGGTGTCAGATAGGTAGGTGATTGTTAACTGTAGTCTACTTGGTACTCGTGACGTCAGTACTAGATCGAAAGTTCTGCAAACAGCAATGGCAACAAACACAACAACCTTTCAAACTCAAACTGCGAATGATAAGAAAAAAATGCCAATCTCACTTAGTTTACATCAACTATATGAATTCTTTGATAACTGTAACAAAGATGTTAATCTCACTGTCACTAGAACCTGTGAATTTCTAGATGTAGAAGACAATGACGAAAATGAAGAAATAATTTCTAATTTAATCTACTCTTATATTGTACAAAAGAAGTCTCAATTCAATGGTTGGCGCAAAACTAACCAAAACCAACGTGAAAATGACTTTGCTCAAATGATTTTTCAGCAAAGTGAATTAAAGCAACGTTCAAAACCACCGAAAAGAACAATTGGAGATTTTTGTGAAGTTAGGAATCAACAAAAGAAACGCTGTTTAAGTGATTAAAACGAGGAATTAGATGAATTTGTTGCTGCAAATAATCTTATAGTTAACCAAGTTCTCGGTTACTTGATCTATCAGCGCAATCATCAAAGAAAGAAAAAAATTTGCTCAAGTAGGCAAAGAACTCTACGAAACTGACGATCTAAGTCATCCAAAAAATGAATTGACTTTAGATGAAACGTTGGCATTGAAATCTTATTTCAATCCAAGTCGAAACCAGATGGATTTTCTTAGAACATTTTGTAGTTCTCACGTGACTATTCCAAACAGAGAATACATCAGAAACTATTCTAACAATATCTTGCCATCACTTTCACTATGAAACAGGTGTGTATGTGCAAGATAGAGAGTCTGCTATCCAACTAACAGTGAAAAGATTGATAGACATGTTATTTATACTGAACGTCACTGTGTCAGAAAAACTCGGATATCGAGAAAAAACTGCACATGGCGGAGCTGGTATAATGTCTATTTATAAATCTATTAATTCACCTATGGAAACGGCAAACATCTTCAGTAAGATGTTTGTACCGTTTAGTTTAAAAGCTCCACAGGAGAAGTTTTATGGGTAAATCAAACTTCTAACAGTTCACATTGGTGTCGTCCACTGGCACTTATAACTGAAAAAGAGTCTAAAAAATTGCTCTCTGTTGTGAATGGTGTATTTGAAGCAAGTGAAAAGCGCTTAAAGGAAAAAGGCATGACTTTTAACTATAACAACAAAAAATACGAAGTTGAAGTTTGTATTGAAAGCAGCATGAAAGATTGAAAGGTCCGTACAATGGAGTCTGGCTTGGGTGGTGAAGACTGCCTTCTTTGCACCATTTGATCAGCTGAATGGAAAGACGAAAATAAAATACAAGATATAAATTATTTTGCTATTAATCGTACTGCAGAAAAAACTTTAATTCTCTATAAAGAAATGGTTAAAAGCGATGGTCAAATTACCAAGAGTAAAAATGATTGTTCTTTCAGATAGGGTCTCATAAATGAGCCGGTCTCTATTCTTGACAATCACTTTATCATAATTACTCATCAATACATAAATAGTGTCTTGGCTAATTAAATTAATGTATCACCTTCGAGTTAATGTTCTAAATTGGTCTGAGCGAGGAAATATTAAAGAACAGATTAAAAAAGCACGAAGCTTTGTTCTTAGCGAAATAGAAACAAAAACGGGCTTTCGGTTGAACCAAGCAGATACAACGAGTAATTCCGGAACATCAATCACTGACAACCAAGGTGGAAAAATTTTTTTCCTTTGAACTGAGAGATGTTATAGTTGAAAGTGTACCCTCGAATTATCGAGAATCTTTCAAAAAGCTCTTGCAGTAGCATTCTGTAATACTTCGTCTTATATCCTTCACTGAACTAATCAATGTTGATAAGTTTAGACAATTAACTAGACTTGGGGATCTTAGCTGTTAAAGAATTTCCATGGATTGAGTATTCCATGACAGTTCACTCTTTGATTTTTCACTCTCCAGAGCTGATTCAAAGAAACAACTCTATTGAACTTGGTGAGTTATTCGAGGAAGCTCTTGAAAGCTGTAACAAAGATTTCCGTAATTTTAGAGAATTTCTCTCTCGAAAATGTGGACAAATAGAAAATGTTATGAATGTCTTCAATCGATTGTTTTTAAGGAACAATCCTGTCATAAATTATACTGTACAATATTCTTGGACAAAAAGAAAAAGAAAAGACAAAATAGTCTTGACATGTAACAATGAAAACGATAGCCTTTTTCATAGTATGCTTGTAGATATTTAATTATTTCGAATTTTATTCTTTTGTAAGATTTTTTTTAATAAACTATAGTTTTAGCATCAGTTTCGATTTTTTAGCGTATACATAGCAAATTCCCGAAAAATGACCTGGAAGTACCGATCTAGAATTTGTAAAAGAAGCCTAATGACTTGATCAGCTGCGTGAAGAAAAAGAGTCAAGGGGTGGTGGTGGGCACTAAACTACGCGACGACGTGCTCTTCTAGTCTGAGCACTTGTTAGCATTTGCTAAAACATAGAAAATAGTTCAATTTAAAGATTGTATTAAAAGTGGTTTCCAAAGAACTGGATTTCAAGAAAACCATCTTAAAGATTTCGTAATACCTTTCTATTACTAGATTCGAAATCAGCGTACCCAAAAGTCTATAAGAAATTATGTTCGAATCGGAACTAGATCTTTGAAGGACCATTCTATTCTCTGGAAAACAAATGATTTCTAGAAAATCAACTTAAAAGTACCTCTGAGTTCTGAAAACTACTCTATTGAAAAGTGCACATGTGAAAACCTATAAGAAAAGTATTTTTGAGCATATTGGAGTGTTTTAAAACAAAATGTCCACGTGCCTATGAAAAATTGCCCACTGTACGTTCTTCCTGTAGCTTTCAAAAGCGACAACAATATATTTGGCAGGAACTGCACGTATCAGCAGGATAGTGCGAGGCCTCACACGTATCAACTGAGTCGAAAGTGATATGGTGATCAATTTTCTACAGTCATTCCGAAAAAAGTCGTTGACCACTCCATGCCGCTGACTTATGTCTATTAAATTACAGTTTATGGATTGAACTGGTTGAAACAATGGCCTGGGATAATATTACAATAAAAGTAGTATTAATATATGAAGTAAAACATGCTTTAAAAAACGTTGAAAAAGAAAAATTTATAGATTCTGTAACTGATTTTATTGTACGTTTACGATTAACTCAAAAAGAATGGAGACAGCTGTTTTATTTGATAAAGTAGACTGTTGTCTGCAGTATTTCAAGTGCTATCTGTTGATTAAAAAAAATGTTTCAATCAGATACCAGAGAGAAAAAAATTTGAAAATATTACAAATTCGATTCTTTATGGGCCATCAGTTAATAGGTTAAGGGGCATGCTGATTTAATTTGAACTTAATGCAGCATTATTTTTCTAATGAAGACAAACTTTATTTGATTTATTGATTGGAATAAAGATAAACAATGTATTTTCATCTGTTGTTAACAACGAGAAAAAAAAACGACCCATCAGCACTCTGAATTATGAACGAAGCACAAGGGAAGTGCGGCTGAAGTACAAATGTAGTGCAGTAGATTATGAATGAAGTACAATACTTCACTCGTACTTCGCTATACTGAACTGTACTTCACTCGTACTTCGCTATACTGAACTGTACTTCATTCGTAGTCGCGCTTCACTTGGACTACAGAGTATCGAAAGCTCACTC